ATTTTATTGTAGTGTGTAGACCTTTTTACATTTAAATACATTTTTTAAATAAACATTTGTCGGCAGTGAATTTTTTGTATATATCGTTTTCTTGGTGGAAATCCGTGTTGCAAAATATGAAAAAGAAATTTAGCAGAAATTTTTTAATATAAATTCGTGTTTTATTTTTAGCAGTTTCGCCGAAAACTATGCAGCTTTGAATGGGGAGATATAACATTTCCGTATGCCCTTTATATTAGGTTCTTGGAAGAGTTCTGACCATTTCATAATTTCTCGATAAATCTCTTTGCTGCAACATCCTATTAATTTCTGCTGTTCAGATGGAAGGTATGAAGCTGTATAAGGTATTTTCTCCCTGCTTTCGCAACGTAATTGGAAGCATATTCGACGCGTATTCGAGAGAGCCAGGGCTCGAGTCCTGGCGAGGAATGCCATTTTTAATTATTAATTTAAAAATGGATAATCAAACTTAAGTAATCGTGCAGTAGTAAATTAAAATACCGGAATTCATCTTAATTTAGACTCTTAATTTAGGCTGGAATTACAATTTTGTTCAAAGTCTAAGAAACACTGGAACTGGATTCCAACTGAAATAAAGTTACGATTGCGCCTTGATTGAAGATGACCACACTGCATACTAATAAATATCCCACTGTAAAAATTAAAAAAAAATAAAAAAAAAAAAAAAAAAATCCTGCTGCTTTATTCTCGAAGATCCAAAAACAAAAGAACAGAACATTGATTTCACATACCTGCAAAGTTCAGAACACAGAAATCAGCCAATAACATTTTTAGCATCAGTTTTTGGTATGAAGAGCTGTACTTTTTGAATATACACCATGTAATATGATAAAAGGTGTTTATTACACTAACGTATTGACTCACCGTCAACAAGACCCACCAGCGAGCGAGTCGTAAATCCGCTGAACACTGGTAACTCGATCAGAGTTCAAATCTCGAAAACAGGCTGGCTGCAGAGAAGATTTTGCAATTTTCTTCAGGTATAAAATGAATTAGAGACAGTTTCTCTTACAATGTTCTTTCAAAAAGGCAAATCTTTTGTTATGCAGATAGCCTTCACTCCTTATTATCACTTATCATAACCAGGCAGATCTTGGAATTTAAGATGGTTAATTAGATTTTGAATGGTCTTCATAAGCTTCAAGGCTATTAAGTTAAACAGCAAAAAACTTCGCAAGAGAAATTAAAATCTGAAAATGAAAAAATTGATAAAAAATCCAAATTAAAAATTTGTAGCAGTTCACCGTAAGTCGGTAAAATAAATAACTGAATAAGGAATAAATAATAAAGGAAATAAGGAAGCAGCTATTATTTTGGAAACAAATGAACAAAAACTTTTCATTTGAATAATAATTGAAAATATATATAGGTTTCATATCATTACTGAAAAGATCATTAAAAGTGCCAATGTGGTAATCGTATTAAAATTATTACTGGAATATTAATATTAGAAATTCATTAATTGTTTTTTCCCTTAGTGTACTTTAAAAGGTTTCAAAAATCTAGAACTTATTCTCATAAATCCTTGGTATTTAACTTCTTGTTATTTGAAGAAAAGAATGAATTAGAGTGCTGGGGAATAGAAAATAAGTTTCATCAAGAATATGTTTGCTTTCATGTACTACTTTGTTTCTGAAACATATTTCATATTTTCTGCTTATTATTTTAATACTACACTTTCCGATTTATTAGTTTATAAAAGCTTTTATTCGGAAGGTTATAAATTCAGTCTATGGAAAGTACGGGAGATATTAATGTCAGTTTTAAGGGTCATATGGTATTATTAAAGCATCTTGTTAATAAATTCATGGGAGTTCAAAAAAAGATATTCTTCGGAGAACAGCCTTGTTGGCGCCAACTTGGCTCGTTGAAGGATATGAGCGACATTTCATTATGCCAACGGAAGTAAATATGGTGTGAGATAGGGAGGAAAGGAAAATACATGAGGAAAAGCGGGATTAAGATAAGTGGATATTTTTCGGTGAACAGCCTTAGTTGCGCCAATTTGGCTACTTTTAAGGGTATGGACGACATTTCATTATGCCAACGGAAGTAAATGTCATATGAGGAATTGGAGCTAGGGAGAAAAGGAAAATATATGGGGAAAAGCGGGATTAAGATGTGTTTGTGTCTCTCTGGTAATTGATTGTAATTTAATTTTACTGTATTGCTAAATTAGCATTAAAAGCTAAGTAATGTGCATTTATGACGAAAACGCAGGACAATTACTTTTGGATCCGATTTCATATGTGTATTAATATATTACATTCCTACTTATTTGATCTACATATGTATCAGATAACTAGCTACTTTTGACACTTATTTCTGGATGTGTATTATTTTAAAACTTTTTCTGCTTTGAAAACCTGAATATTGAAACATTATGTGTATGCTTGTGAAAATATTATTTCAGATTAAAATTCTCGTATAATTACGGTAGAAATATGCGTCTATTTACTTTAAAATGTAGTATTTGATAGCCTTCCACATAGCAGCTGTAACGGAAATATTATCAAAAAATCAGAACTACGCCGAGACTACCCGTCAACGGTTGTTCTGCACAGGTTCTTAATATATGTATATAAACCTTAATAATAATTAACACAGTAGGTCTACTATTAGAATATCTGTTTACAATTTCAATATTTATAGAAAAAGAAATAAATCTTATCTACTTGAATTCTGCACATGTTTCTTGACGAATAAACAACTTTGTTAACACCCCAATTTCAGTAAACGCCCAAGGGCGATCCTAAATGTTAGTAATGTGTAATTTTGTAGATGTGTTATGCAAATTGTTGCTCAGATTCTTTATTGTATATTGTTCTTTTTTCCTCCTGATTGCTTTTTGTTTTTACTAGTGGCACTAAGGCGTCGCACTTCGTATTTTGTTTCTCTTGTGTGTACATGTATTCTTCTGTGAAATAGTTGTTAAAAAAAATAGTTAATTATGTAAGAATTAGTAATTAGGTACTTAAGGACAAAAAATTGTATTTAACTATTAGCAATTATGAATTTAAACTCTTACTTATTTAATTATTTAGCACATTGAGTTATATTTCTCATAATTCGAAACTTTTATCATGTTATTCGATGAGGGGTAGGGCTATGGCGCCCAGGCACCCTGGTGGTTAAGCACCGCAGTTCAACATTAGTTAACACTTGACATCAATATTTTCACAGTTTCACATTAAAGCAGGAACTAGGATATTATTCAATAAACAGAACACAAATACGAATTGAATTATTATAGCAGCCATTCTAGAATTGGTTCTGTAATGTTATATAATGGTCATTAAATTGTCTTATGCATTATTTTGCCTAATTATTCATTTTAATAAAGATTATATAATCAATATAAAAAATACAATTTCAGTATATTTTAAAGATAGAGTTAATAAACAAAAAATAAATCCATTTATCCATTCATTGTCATATAAAAAACGTGCTATAGACATTCTGTTGATATCAACCAAGGAGGTTAGAATAGAAGGAGGGAAGGTTCAACTCAAACGGTGAAGCTTGGCGGCCATCTTCCTGTTATCACCGTGACTTGTGCAAGGAAGTCGGTCATTGCAACATTTTTTTTTCTTTTGTTTTAAAATATATTAAATACATTTTAATGTTTCTGTTTATAGCTGGTATCTTCGTTCCTTAAGATACAATGCTATATAGTAGGACTTAAACTGTATAATTTGAACGTTTTAGTAATTAATTCGTTTTATAATTTTCATGAAAAGTGAGAAATCAATTGTTACTATTTTTATGAATTGTAAAGGTTTTAAATAAAGTAATGCCTTTCTTTATGTATTATTATTCATTTTAAAGTTTTGTGAACTGTTACGAATATAATTTGTGCATTTGAGCAAGATAAACCGTTTCATTATTAAAATTTTTTTTGCATAAATTTACAAATTTCTGGGCAATATAGTGATAAAAGTAAGTAAAATATTTACACAATTAAACATGTGAAAAGATATATCCGAAAACTTATATAGGTGTATTTCTGTAATTCAAGCTTAATTCAAGGCAAGTTTGCTTTGAGATTAATAAATATGAAATGCGCATAAAATAAACTGAAATCAATGAATTCACATAAATCTGTTTTATTTTATTAAGATATTTTATTTTCTAACCTAAGAAAGTCCCGTGAAATATGCAGAAAAACATCATTTTTTAAAAAAAAAGGCTTTTAATGTTATGCGCATGCATTTAGATTTCGAACTATTTCTTTAATAATTTGCTGTACATAGTAAATTATGGATATCATCTTATTTATTACTTTAAAAACAAAAATTCAACAATAGCGAGGGATTTCATTATAAATTTAAAACATATTTTTACTGGAAAATAAATGCACGGAACAGGTTAGAAACACGTACATGTCACTGCCGTAATGCAATGTTTTGAAGTCACAAACATGGACGCCGCTTGTTCGGCGGAGTTTCATTCCCCGATAGTGGAGGAAACCGCGAACCCTCCCTCCTTCTATTCTAACCTCCTTGATATCAACAGTCAGAATACTTTTTAAGGCTGATTGAGAATTACTGCCATATTCCAAATTAAAATAACTTATTAAAGGTATATGATATCATTATTAAAACATATCGCAGAGATTTTTAGTATTGTCAAATACTGCTTTATTGTGTGAAATATTATAATGCGTAGAGAAATCAATACTTGAAATATACAAGATGTATAATGATAGAGAATTTTAAACAGTTTTTCTGTATTGAAATCCGCAGTGATTTTTTTTTTTTTTTTTTTTTTTTTTTTTTTTTTTTTTTTCCATTATGGTATTGCGTCTTACGACAAGAGTTATAATCAACTCACAATTCAGGTTCATTTGAAGTTGCAGACAAGCTGCTTGAGTTTTCGCCTTGCGGGCAGAAAGACTAGCGTGTGCATAACACTGTAAGCATCAAATGCACGTGCTTAGTTTCGTTTGTATTTGTTGAATTTTTGTATTCGTAAAGTTTCGAAAGCAAGATTGAATCAAGACTTATGAGTGCTGTTTGCGAAGAAAGCGTATATAAACTTAAGGAATTTGGCATAGCTAATGTGAGTATTTTTTGTAATCTAAACTGAAAAATGATGTAATTAAGCAGTTTTATAATACGAACATTGAATCGAGTGGATCGCAAATCTGATTTCAAACCAATATAAGTTCATATCCTCAAATTGCATTCAGAGCAACTGAATGCCGATAACTGAAGTCATGAGTTCATTCAGAATTTGCACATTATTTTAACATTAACATTTTAATATCTGTAAGTTTAGGGGAGTTAAAAAACAAGATAGACGCTTATCAGCTGGGAGTCAGTTCAATTTATAGGTGTTGTTGGGAAGGAAATTCAAGTATTCCGGGTGGTGTGGAATGTATGCAATTTGTAAAAATAACCGAGAGGTACATGAGATTTCCCTTTGTTTCTACTATAGGATATTGTGTATAATAAAACAGTTGAAAAATTGCAGTTGTATAACAAAACAATTGAGAGACTGCAGAATTCAGTTGGCAGCTAAAGGGTTAATTATATTTTGTATTGTAAAAGTCATTCTTATATGTGTATCTACTAATTTTGAAATTATTCGATAATTTAAAAAAAAAATATTATTACATTTGTTACTTTTGAAATAGATTTTCATAGCCTTACTTAGTAAAAATTTCTTTTTGTGGGTATAGATTGATTTTCGTAAGTTGTACTAATGTCATATTTTCATTTATTTAGGAAGGATCAGCTGAAGCTCATTATAACACAAAAAATAAGACAATAGAAGATTTAATTAAGGTATAAGTATAACTACATTTCTCAATTTATTTTTATTGTATATTTTAATCACTCTTAACTATATTTTTTCTTTTACTTTTACACATCTATCTGATGGTAGTACAAAGTCCAGGATCCCGACTCATCAGGACCTCTGCGATTCTGGATTTGGGATTTTTCTGGATATTAGATCACGAGTTTAAATCTAGTAAGATGACAAATTATAAAATTAATAATATAAAATAGTTCTTTTTGAAATAATGAAGTATTTATAACCTTAAATCAAAATTTACAAAAAAAGCTCAATATTGATTTGTTTGCTAAACTCTTCTTTTAATATAAGTTGCTTAATTCGCTTTGTTTTTTATGCTAATACTTTCTCTTCAATTCTATAGATAGACATAATTTCTCGTTCATATACAAAGTTGCATTGTTTCAAGCCCTGTAATTACTCCTCTGAGAATTCTGACTAAGTTGTTAGTTAAAATATTTTCATTCTCAGCAAATGCTTAGTCACTTACTTAACTATTGGTTGTAATATTTTTTTGGAATTAAAACCATACTACAAATTTCACCATCCGTTAGTTGATTGATGATTGGGCCATTGTGACTGCGATGAAAAATTTTGGTAAAAATATATTTACAGGTGCACTTTCGCGATTTTTGGCAGTACTTGGACACCGAGATTGTGCAATTCTTTGATTTGTTATCACTGCTAAACTAAACTCAGTGGTGCAACAGCCCTAGTGGGCCACAGCCTGCAGTACCCCAAAATCTGCTTTCTTGACCTTGGGCCCCAGAGTTCATCAGCATATGCCCTGGGTAAGTGGTCAGCTCGTAACAGGACCCACGATGTTTAGTTCCCAAGTGAACTTGGTACTCATTTTATCGACCCAATCAAGGGATGAAAGGCCGAGTCAACTTTGCCCAGCCCGGGGATTGAACCCTGTATCTGTGGTGCAGCTGGGCGACACACTAGCCACTAAAGATTGCCGCTACACAAAACGAAAATAACAAGTCAAAGTAAAAAGTCAAAAGAGCAGCCAGTTCTAATATATAATGTCAATAAACTACCTTTTAAATCAAACAACATAAAAAAAAAAGGAAATATCCATGTACCTTATTTAGAAATTTCCAGGTCTTTAGTCAAACAAAATTCCTTAACAGCATCCAAAAACTTCCTAAAATTATCTGAACTAGAATCTGAGGCTGATCTTTAGAATATGGTAACTGGTAGTTTGGCGACGTTTTGGAGGCGATAAAGGTTACTACCTAGGTAATAATGTGAGAAACACTGAGTTCCGATTACGCATTATTTTGTGTGATGGAAATGAGAGATCATGAGATATGTCATGTGACATTAATGGACGAATTACAGTTGTTTAATTGGAAAAGGGGGGAAATCTGGAAATTTCGTATTTAGCTATATTCTGTGTTGTGTGAAACGTGACATTAATGGACGAATTACAGTTCTTTAATCGGAAAAGGGGTTTAATTTGGAAAAGCTTCATTGTGTGTTGTGTGAAATAGTGTTGATTAATTTTCGGATTGCATGGCGCTATGTAAAGTGAATTCTAAATTTTTAATGCGTTTATCTGATAATAATACAGTCAAAAGTCGTTAATTCGGACACCCATAATCCGGAATGATCTATAATCCGGACCTCAAAGCTAAAAACTTTCTGCGCATGCGCCGCGTTGGCACATGCGCGCAGGCGTTTTACGCGTGCGCGTAAGACCTTGACTACTACGCATATGCGTGTACGCAACTGCAGAATACGTTTTCGCCTGCGCGTTTAATGTATAACGGACGGTGTAAGCTAAAATTATCTAATTATCTATTTCAGTTAATGTTAATGATTGCATTGTTCCTTAATCTTCGAATTGGATCCCGCTTATTATTTTTTGCAGACTGTAAGAGCAATTTTATAAAAGTAAACTTGAACTTTCGATTATGTCAAATAGAATTTCCGATGCTGGAACTTCCAAAGGATCTACAAAACGAAAGCATGTTTCGATGTCCAACAAACAAAAAGTGGAATTGCTGCAAAAAATGGATAAAGACATGAAGAATGTGACAGAGAGGTTAGTGAAAATGAAAAAATTTCGATAGACAAGTTAGTCGGTATTCTCGGCACAGCAATAATAACGGGACTTGAACAGCGGAACTTTGTAACTGAACAAGAAAATTATGTCTTTTTATGGAATTAAAGAGAAAGTATTATCACATAAAATGAAGCAACTTAACAACTTACATTGAGAGAAATGTTTTAATAAAGTAAACAAATAAATATTAAGCTTTTTTTTTTTTTTTTTTTTTTTTTTTTTTTTGTAAAGTTTGATACCCTTCAGATCATAATTGTTCTTTATTTCATAAATTACGGTTTCATATTTTTAATTTTAGAATTTCTGCATGCTATCTTACGAGATTTAAACTGATGATCTATAATCCGGAATCGTCGAAGTCCCGACGAGTCCGGATTAACGACTTTTGACTGTAATAAGTTGAGATTGTGTGAAAGGAAGGATATTACAAGTTTAAATGGTGGTGCAAGAAATATGGTGAAAATGGACATTTTGTGAAAAGGAGTTTAAGGAAGGGTACGTGGTTTGCTGCTGAAAGTAGTTGAGTATAGGTGAAATTTTATTAATTTCTTATTACTTGGTGAATAGACTTCCAGTTGACTACTGGATTTAGGATTTAGAAATTAAATTAGCAGTAGTACTGCAGCGACGTAATGAAGATTCTGAAGAAGATTAGGTAAGTTAGTATTTTAATCATTTGAGGATATTATTTTTATGCATTGTTCTAAATGTAAGGAGTAATAAATTAAAATGGTATTATTTGAAAATTGTTATTAGCAATGATTTAGTTTAAAGTAATTAGGATTGTAATCTAATTTTTATTAATTTAATGTATGTGCTTATTTATATTTCAAGTAGTTTTTTTTAATTTAATTATATTTTAATTTAATGATCGTGATTTTGTGAGTTTATGTTTGTAGTATTTTGGAATATGTTTGAGTAGTTATTTTACGTTGAGTATTTTATGCATTTTCGTGAAATTTTTCTAATTTATGAGAAAAAAAAGCAGTGTACATGGATATAGTGAAGAGTGTGCGCAATGCCATTTTTGTGCAATTCTGGGATTTTTTTTTTATGTTTGTAGGAATTTGGTATACGTTTTAGTTGAAGTAAACGTGCATGGAAATAATTTAAATATTTGACACTAAGTATTTGTAATGTTTGCGGTATGAATTCGTTGGTGACGTTTATAATATAATAGATAATTTAGAGGTAAAAGTTTATAGATATTTTATTTATTTTATACGTGGAAATGTTCATATTTTAAAAGGGTATATACTTTTTCGCGATAAGGTAATTTCATATATGTTCTTTTTACCGGGTTTAAAGATTCAAAAAAATTGTCATGCATTTTTCGTGAAATTTTCTAATTTATGAGAAAAAAGCAGTGTACATGGATATAGTGAAGAGTGTGCGCAATGCCATTTTTGTGCAATTCTGGGATGTTTTTTTAAGTAAAAATAAGTCGACGTGTACATGCTTTATGTGTATGTGTTATTGTGAAAAACGTGCAAGGAGTTTGCGATTGTGCACTTTTTCCCAATTTTGCAGTGAATATTTGTCATGATTAAGCAGTTTTGTTAGATAAAATTTCTAGTATAAGTGTAATTTGGCTAGTGGATTGTTGGAAAAAGTGTTCAGTAAATAAAAAGAAAAGAAACATGTCTTTACTTCGTGAAGACAAAATGGCGGCAGAAAAAAAAAATAGAGGGTTGCTGTAGCAGAGTTGGTCGCCAAATTTTCGCCAAAAAATCGCCAAGTTACCATAATCCAAATATCAACCGAATCTGAATACTGGTGGCACCATATAAATTTACAAAAATAGAGTAAAAAATATCCTCCAATGTTAAAACATACACATTTCCTTCATACAAGTGTTGGCGTCAGGATTTTTCTCTTACATCCAATATGCGTATCTTTTTGATTTTATGTTATTATTTAATAGGACAGAAATTCACAACCAGCATCATCGAAGTACTTTATTCTACTGCTCTTTTAAAAGTGCATGAGTAATTAATATTGTCTGTCGCCGTGGTTACATTCTTTATCTCTCAGTTTTTTTTTTTATTATTATTACAAATGCTTTGAATAACTTTTAATGGCATGATGCCATCTGGCATGGGCAACCTGACTAAACAATTGCCTTCAATTGTCGCTTTTTTTTTTAAACAAACATTGTTGGCAATACCACGAGAACCCATATTTTGTGCACATTATAATCATAGTTTAAAGTTCTAGAAGGAGTAAAAAGTTCTATAACAAAAGTTCTTAATGAAGTTTTTCCAGTAAAGTTTGTAGGTTCAGGACAAAAAAAGAATAAAAGTTTACATTACCTGTAGCTTCACGAGTTAATATCCAAGTTGCCTGTTTCGTCTTCATCCAACTCATTGCCAAGACTTCAGCTGACTCATGTGGGTTGTTGTTGTATACAGTCTAACATGCTCTTTTTTTTTTCTCTTCTTATAGTAGTACTTCTTCATCTTATTTGCCATCTGCTCTTTTACTTCTTTCAGCATTAATGAGGTAAAAATTTTCAGTACTCTTTCTTTACTCTCAGCTTGAGTAATATGACTTCTCCTTGGCACTTAATGTTCTATTTCTTGGTGCGGGGTTTCCGAATAAGATGACATTTGCAGGGACTTATCTTCACTCATCGTTTGGGCTGAATACACAAATTCTTCTGGCTGCCTAATTCTTCTTTCACTAGCAAATTCCGCAGATTTCCTCTCTGGTAATTTTCTTCCATCCATAAAGTTTAAACCTGCTTTATCAGAAGACGTTTTTCGTATTCTTCTTTCATATCTGAATCATTTTTGCGCATCCCATACAAACGGTAGCCTCTCCTTGTTACAAAATTTCTCTCAGGAATATAAGACACATCACTTTCAACTTGGTCATTTCGGTTTGGAAATCGCTTTCTCTTTATAGTTGGTATTTTTCTACACAAGGGTTTTGAACAATTATAATTTTATAAAATTGCTCTAACAGTCTGCAAAAAATAATATGCTGGATCCAATGAGAAGATTAAGGAACAACGCGATCTGCAACATTAACTGAAATAGATAATTTTAGCCTAGCTTATACCGTCCGTTATACATTAAACATGCATGCGTAAACACATTAT